CCGTAATTTTATAATGTTTCCTTTTTTCACTTTTCTTTCCAAAGCCAGTGACTCAGTGTATTTACTTTTTTCAGCAATTAAGCTACTTGCTAAAAGTGTCACCTTTTTTTTTTTTTTAAATCTCTCTGCAAAACTTTGCATTGAGGGGATTTGATATTAAAATCTGGAATTGGTGATTTCACCATTAATTATATGTCTGCCCTTTCTGCTCGCTGAGTGGTACTGGTTTGCTGTTCCTCGTGTAAGAATCATCAGTTTATTTTCCTAAAACCAGCTGCCTTTTAAAAACTAGTCTGCATACCTCTCTGAACTTCAGGTAATCACTTGAACAAAAGGAAGCTTCTCCAAAGCATATGTGTTGATAAGAGACATTTTTAAAACCTTATATCTAGTCTCCTTTGTATTTTTCTGAAATTCAGTAATCCTCTTTCCCACTTAGCTTAGTGAGTGGCTGACCCAAAGCCAGTGGAGGTCAGAGAAAAGGCTTCTTCCAAAACAGTGAGTGGTTACAACACTGCAGGAAAAGGCGGACTTGGTGGTGTGATCACTTCTTATTTGTCCCCTAGACAAATGCTGTGTGATTCCAGAGAGCGCACATGAGCTATATGATACTGCAAGGAAAGTCATGCTAATACTTTGCCCTGGACTGAGGAAAAAAAATCAGATGATATGATGTTATAAGAGGTGACATTTGTGTATGGGTGTACGGATATAAGCAACTAAAACTTAGGCACTGTGTTTATGCTGGCTGTCTAGGCTGTTTGACAATCACTGGAGAGTTGTAGACATGTTCAGGGGATGTTATTGTGTAAAGGTAAGGATGTGAAATAAACATCTCCACAAAGCAACTCAGTCCTCCTTTATCCCTCCATTGACTGTAAAGGCAGCCTAGGCAAGGAGCTTAAGCTGGACATGTAAGATCTGGGTGATTAAAACTTAGTAAAATGAATCCTGCTTTGTGACCTGGAGAAGGGTGGTGCTTTCCTATTTATATAGCCTTATTGTATTGCAGCAAATGTGGAACTGGCCTTTTTTCGGTGCTTTTGTATTAAAAATGATAAAAAACAAGATAATAAACAGGTTTATGTATTATTTCCCAAGACAGCTTCTTGCACACAGAGGTTTCAGTCCACAGATCTCTGAAAAATCTATTAAAATAAAAAGAAAGACAGGCAGTCAATGCTTTAAGCAGTTTAGTGCAGTGGAAATGCAGGATGAACAAAATTCTCGCTTTTAGTACCTTTAGTGTCTGACAGAATAGCAAAGCTCGGTGAGTCACCCTGAAACCATGCAAGATCATATGCTTCATTAGACAGGAAACACAGATATATCTCCACTGATATATAATACAGAGTGGAGTATTAAAACGGATATATATTTGTTCTATTTATATTCTTACTGGCAATGTGCAGAAACTGAAACACAGCACCTCCAGCTCCAGGTGGCCAGCAGGTATCAGGAAGATACACCCTGCACAGGAACTATCTCCTTGAGCTAACCAACATAGCTGAGGTGGAGAAGTCAGGGTTCAATAGCCACTTTTTCACCCTTAACAAAGATATGTTGTCATCAAGCACTTCTTTTGAATGTGTTCACTCTGGGGTACATCTTTCAGCTATGCTGGTAAGTCAGCCAGTCTCTTGTTTACTACCACATATGTTGTGTGGCAGGGACAAAGGGCAGAGTATATATGAGAAAAAACAAGAGGATATTAATGGGAAAAAGCAAATGTGGCTGCACTTCTAAATACCTTACCATGTTGAAGGTGCTAAGCGTCATATGAGATATATTACCCAGAATTAGTAACGTCTCAGGCTGGCTACTTAGCTGGTGTAAATCAGTGGCATCCCACTGGTTTCTATGGAGCTTTGTTAATTTGCGCTAGTTGAGGATCTGGCCCTGAAATAGCTGTAATAGAGGATCAGCATCTCTAGATCAGTTTGTTCAGTCTACCAATCAGCTTTTCTACTGACATTTTTTTTCCTTCTTATATGTTGTCACCTTCTGAACTTAAAACACCAAAACCCCATCTGCTTATCAAGACATCACAAAAATTTGCACCCTTCCAGGCAGGATTTCAAAACATGTTGTGAGCCCACACAGCCTACTGAGCAGGCAAGGAAAGACACTCTGCAATTGCAACGCAGGATACATGGCCCAGCTCGGCACCCCAGCTGCCCTGCGGCAGGAAGCAGCCGACTGAGATGCTGAGATTGTGAAGCGGGAAGCACAGATTTTATCGGGTTGGGACCGGTCTCCTCAGAGGAGGCTAAGCAAGCAAACTCCATCCCTCATTAGTATGAGTCAGGCGATCATAGTTTCTTGTGTCAATTAATGTGTGGCTCCCTAGAGTAAGCTTCTGCCTACCTCTGGAGAGATGTGTTGTAATTAATTTTCCTGCAGTTTGGCTACGATGTTGTGCTTTAAGCACACCACTACCAAGAAAAGTGTCTAGCAAGGTCAAAGCTACATGCATTTAGGACCTGAAACAGGTATCCATGCAAGTACAGTGCTGAGCTTTGAACATGCTATTTTAGTTATTGGAAGCAGTCTACCTGAGAGAGCACAGAGCTCAGTGGGAACCTGCTTCTCAGCAGAGTACTCCTCAGCCTGTGCAAAGATCTGGACTGCCAGAGCTAGCCTGCCTCATGCCCTGAGGTAGGTTGTTTGAAGTGAACGTAGGTAACTCTACACTACGCAGCAGTCCACAGTGTAGACAACCCCTCAGGATTTAAGCATTTGGAGTTGACTCCCCGGCATGACTTCAGATTCCATGAAGGTGTTCCTTGGACGCCTCCTCTCGGGGTGTTTTGTTGGCTCAGCCAGGCTTTGCTTGTGAAATCTGAGGGGATCACATCACATGGTTTATCCTGCATTTACTCACGTATAACCCAGCATGACTATACATCAATCAACTAATTTTAGCAATGTTAAAACTGAAAAGAAAAGAATGATATCTCATGAATATACTGACCTGCCTCCCCACTCCAGCTTCTCTCTATTTGCCTTCGAATTCTTAAGATTTTTTGGAGTTTCCAAAAATTATTCAGAATTCTCTGCATTGGCTTATGGCTTCCCAGGGTGTTGGCGGTGCTTCTAGCCTTCACATTTCTGGGGGAATTTCACAACATATAATGATTTGTTTCCTCAATTGCTCATTTTCAGTATCTTCTGTGTCCATCCATCATACAAGTAAGTGAGCAAAAATTGCTTGCTTTGCTGACTTACATGAGAGGCAAGTATTGTACTACATAACTTGACATCTTTGCATAGATGTTTTGGCTTGTACAGCAGAATGGTGCTAAGCTTTCATAGGTGCCAAACACTATGCTAAGAGATGAAACAACAGTGAAGGAAAGGGCACTTGTAGTCAAAAATCTCATTGTGAAAGTGGCAATGTAGCTTATACGTGTCATATTGTAAGAGAAAGGTCATCAACTTTATATTCTTCCTCCATCTTTGGATAGGATAAGAATATTCTGCAAAAATAGTCTTTCTTGCTCATTTTGTTCCCAAAGCTCAAAAAGTAAAACCAAGGCAAGGTGTTTGATTTTTTAGCTCTTTTTCTCCATAATGAGAAACACAGTGGCACATAGGCTGAAAAAGGATTATAATATTTTATATATTCTGTAGTTCTTCAGACCTGTTGGGGAAAGAATTAGTAATGTATCTATATATCTGGTAAAAATATCTCAGTGACCTCATACTCACATTTGTGTAAACATCACCTCATCAGTTCCAGATACTTATACAGGAAACAAATCTGAATGCTCCTCTAGTGTTCTATACTTAGGCAGGTCAGCCGGCATATGTCTGGTCTGTAAATACCCAGTTTTACTTGGGTCCTTATTTTAAGGTTTCTCTCTTAAGAGTTTGCTGCAAACGTGCCCTCAGCATTTGCCAGTGTGCCTTTTCCAAAGCAACTTGCCCCTGAGGGTTCCCATTAAAAGCTTTATTAAACAAAAACCAAATAACAAAGAAGAGCTGTACCAGTTGGTAATGGTTTAGTCAGGATTGAATTACTAAATATTGCCATAATAGTCCTGAACTGACAAAGTGAGTATCAAATGATTTTTCGTAGCTGTCAGTCACTGTGGTATGTGACCACAGTTTGCTCTATGTCCCAATCCCAATCTTGCTAACAGGTTTCTAAAATCAAAATTCTCCTTCAGACTTTTCCTGATAATCTTTCCTAATGGACTCTAGCATGCGGAACAGACTTCTGACTTTATAGCTTGGGCGGGCGTGTCATTATAGTGACATAATAAATTGTATGTTGCCTGGTGCAACAGCACAATGCTTGTGATTCTGTTGCACAGATAACCTGGAATGTCACATGCTTAATTTTCCAGTTGTGAAGTAAAATAAGGAGGGAGTGTAATAAAAGAAGGTACATGTTACAAAAATAAATGCAAAAAATAGCAACAATTATAACTTGAGTATTTAGTTAATAGTTTTTACATTTTTTAAAAGGTATATCCTCTGCAGCAGATTTCAGGCAACTCTATATATGTGAACAGCATAAAATTAGGGAAAAATTATAAAGTTTTTAGAAATGGGAAAAATACACTGGCTTGCCAAGTTCAAGCTTCTAGAAAGACAGAATATTACAAGTCCTCTAGAGAGACAGTATATAATGATTTAGTAGGTAGAAAACTGCCTATGTTACAGGACTCTAGCAGTATTATTAGCAGGGTTACACAAATGTACAGATTAAAATCACTTTGGCTTTATGCAGGCTGTCTTTACTACCAAAAGAAGCGAGTCATGCATTCGTAACTGTATTGCTGCTTGTGGAGGTATAAATGGTGATGACCAGCCTTCCCTAAGGGATTTGCTTAAAGCTATACAGGCAATAGCAGAAAATAAATTTGAATCATCAGTCACTCTTTGTGAGGTCACTAGACCAACTTTCTCCAGCAGCTGTCTGATTTTGTTTGCTTTCTGATACTGCGTGTATATCACTGGGCTGTTATCTTTTCTTTTTTTTTTAAATGCAGATAGTGATGTTCCATGTGCAGATTCGGACAGTATTCTTTCAGCCACGTGAATGGCAACAAGGAATCAAGAGGGCTTAAATGATTGGGTATTAGTCAAAGAAGGCAACCAAGATCAAGGAAACGTCAATTCTGCTGAACTTAGTTAAGTCGGGTTCCCTCTGTTTGTAAGAAAGAGGGAAAGAAGAGAAAAAGCTCTACAAAAAAAGACATAAGCCAAGGAAAATATCCTGCACATTGTCATACTAACTAAGAGATATGTTAAAAACCCAGGAACTCTCTAAAACACTAAAACTACCAGAGAATATGGTAAGGTACTGAATGATGTGTAGCAGAATAAGACAGCAATTATGTATCTTTTGATTTTCTACATGTTATGGTTTGTTTCACAGGAGCTGGTTTAAGGGAATAAAACATGTAATCAGACAGCAAGTGATTTTACTGTGGTGTTGATTAAATTTATGCAATCACATATGCCTCAGACACAGGCAGTCCTTCCAAAAAGGGAGTACTGGTATGCTGTTTCAAAGAAGAGACCAAGTCGCTCATGAAAAGAAAAAACAGCTGAAATCTAGCTTCATTGTGCACAAACAAGGTTTTACAAATTGAAAAACTAACATAAATTCTTCTTGTATTTTTATGAACTCCAAATCAGGAAGCAATTCAAGAAGGTTGACTGGGTTGTCCACTGCTGCAGATGGTCTATTTCACTATTTAATTTAAACAAATGCTTGCAATCATCTTGTATGTTAAGTTGCACAGCAATTGATCTGTGAATCTAGACAGTCCTGTTTTCTTACATTTCTTTTCCTTTCCCTTTTTAATGTTCATCATCCTTGTTTATTTTTTACCAGACTGGGTGAAGGGAGATACTTTTCTCTGATGTGTTTGGAGATCAAGTCAAAGTATATAATAAAATGATACATAAATCATTACTGAATAGAAGACAGCAATAAGCATTTTGGAATATTTAATCATGAACAGTAGTTTGCAAATTATGCAGAGCTATTCACTGACATCTGTCAGGAAGCTAGAAACATGCTCTGATTTTATGCAAATATTTGATAACGGGGGACACTGAAGAGTAGTAAAGGCACTATCTGATGTCAGAATGTGAATATTTTTAAGGCGCAACTCCACTGAAATCTGGCTTCAAAAGTTTCCCAAATGGAGATCCAAGACAGATGAACAAGAAACATGGGGTTTGACAGTTTTACTCGAACGAAATAGAAATTGAGAGTTTTTGAATTAGGATTCTTCAAAGTCCCTGACAAAGCCCATTCAAGCAGTCTATAATCACATAACTGCCTTTTTCTTCATCTACAAATTAGTGTAAAAGCCAGATTTGCCAATAACAACAATTGCAGCACTTTGCTATGCTCACCAGACCATGAGTGACAGATAAATAAATAAATACTGTATAATGTTTCCTTCCTCTTCAAGTGCTGCTTGACCGATTGTACAGCCATTCCTTCCATTTCAGTGATTTAAACACGAGTAATGTTTGCTAACCAGTAGCATGTGCTAGCCAGAAACCAGGAAGATCCCAGTTCTGTAGTCATCATACCCGGATGACTTCACGTGCATATGTAATTCCACTTGACTCAAGAGGACTGCTCAGTCAGCAAGCCACAAACAAAGGTTTTGAAAACCAACAGGACTTCATATGATATCTTTTTATTTAGCAGGAGAAGCCTGCAATCCTGCCAAAATTTCTTCTAGGCAAAACCTTTCACAGGCCTTGTGACCACAACTGTGATGTGACAACCCAAGTCAGTTCAGTTTTGTGTAGGTCTGGGCTGGAAAAGAATCATGGCAAGAGCCTCTCCAACATCGGTAAACTGGGTTAGTGGGCAAGGCGAGCGTCAGCGACAGTAGTCGGAAGTAATGCTTTTGAGGTCTTGAAGTAGTCACAGATACCGAAAGTGACACAGAAAGAACAGAGGGGAAGGTAAGTCTTGTTTTGTCCACATTTTGTAAGTGTTGCAAGACCAGTTTTAATGGAGGATTTATCACAGCATGGTGAGGAAGAATGTGTCAAGTTTAATGCATTGCCATGAATTCATTGCCATGAATCAGGATATTGACCAGTGATCTATGCCTTTTGCACCTAATAGTATGAAAAATGTATTGGACTGGATAAAACACAAATCTCTTGATCCAAATTTAAGGATCCTGTTCTATAACTTGCTGAATTCAGTGGAAGACAAAATACCTAACCTTCCCCAGAAGTGCAGTGACCTGAGGCACGCTCAGTGATACAGCCTCAGGTGGGAGCATGGCCCTACCCATCACTCCATTCTCCCTTTCTCATTTCTCTGCCTTAGAGGACTAAGTATGCAAATGCAACTATTCCACTGAATTGTGTTAAAGCTGAATTTGATGTGTGCAAACTTACCTCGCTTGCATCCACCCATGATGCTGCTTGTGAAGAGTTCCTTAATCCCTCACATTTCGATACCACCCTTCTCTTTACCCATCTTCATCATTACACCTTCTCATTGAAGTCATACTTCCTCTCTTCATGCAAACTCTTCGTGATGATTCATGTTTTATTCAACTCTTATTCACTATCAGGAGAACACCTCTTGCCTTCAAGCAGTCAGCCCCTGATGACAGTTTTCGTAGACTTTTGGAAACAGTAGGGGAGACACACATGTAAGAGGTGATGAGAATGAAAGACCTTTTTAGCACATTCTGTCTTGGGCAGGGAAAGGGACACTACCTAGCCTGTGTTTGTCTCTAATAGTTGGTACCTCCTCCTGTGGTAGATCGAGGGAAAGAGTCAAGAAAGCCTTGAGTTCAAGTGTCTTGACTTTCAAGGCTATAGGTTTTTAAATAAGCGTAAATGGGTTTGGGGGTGATAATGCAACTTAAAGGAAATATGTGTTCAGGGTAGAAAAGAATCCTGACATTTCAGAAAGGTTAAATGTGAGATAAGGGTACAAGGGAAGCAGTTGTTGTGACCACACTTGTGTGACATACTGCTGAGAGACTCATCCTCAAGCATAGAGGCAATAATGTGCATTTTTACCTTCTTCATTTAAGGTGTACAGTGAGACTGAGTCTAGAGTGAGATATCTATGTAGTAAGAGGAATTCTTTCTAGATTGCCTTGTAAGCCCCAGGAACCCATATAAATAAGAGGAGAAACCTGTCCTGGGAAGGTTCCCTCTGCAAGAGCTGGAGGAACCAGAAAGTGATGTCTGAAGTCTGAATCATAAGTGCATAGGGGTTCCTGTCAGCACTCCCAAAAGCGTCTTAAGAAAAGAATCATTCTCAGGCTGGTATAAAGCAGATGGACCCAGTCTTCACCTAAATCAAGTTAAATATGTTAAGCTACACTGATGTACAGCAGTGGAGAAACTGCCTCGAAGTCTTTAGCTTCTCAAGATTTGGCCTGAGACAGGTAGACGTATGTCCAGCCAGTTCCTGAGCAAAAGATGGCTAATGTCCCTAAGCCTCCTCCTCTCCATTGTATTGCTGAGCACATTATATGGCATGGAATATCTCTGGTTAGTTCGAGTCATCTGCCCGGTTGTGTCCCCTCCCAACCTCTTGTGCACCCCCAGTCTCTTCACTGGGCGGGGGGAGAGTGAGAAGCGGAGAAGACTTTGATGCTGTGCAAGCACTTTTCAGCAATAACTAAAACGTTAGTGTGTTACCAGTATTGTTTTGGTCTCAAGTCTAAAACATAGCACAAGGTGAGCTGCTATGAAGAAAATAAACTCCAACCCAGTACAGTCTTTAACCTGCCCAGGAAGAGGAGATGTGCCCCCAGGCGCTGCTCAGGGGATGTCCGAGGTGAGTCTCTGGGTTGCAGCCAGTTACTGTCTCAGGCTCTTCTTTGTTCCTTGATGCCAGCACAGACACTTGGCGAGATCACTGAGCAACAATGGTGAGCATGCTTCAGGATGTGATACCACACACAACCCACTGGTGCTGGGCTCTCAAATGGCAACGACGGAACTCTGAGCTGTGCTTGGACAGACATGGACATACTATGTGGCTTTAGTTGGCTTATTTAATCTCTCAGCTGCAGACTTGACATCCATATAAATGGATGAAAAATATTTACTGCTACCTATAAATAGTATTTACTACAACATAACACAAATGCTGTGGTGATTAATTAAAGTTTGTAAATTATTTTGTAAATGTGAAGGGCCAGGGCAGATGTTACTTATTTACTAAGGCAGCATTTTTTAGGTCTGCTATCTTCAGTCCCCTTGGTCTACAGCAGGTGGTAACAGTGAATTTCCGTTTTTCAGGGCTGCTTGCAAGGGCTTTTGAGCTGGCACATAATAATGACCAGATCCATCCAAAATCTGTGTACCTCCTGCTTTCCATTTGGGACCACAATCAAGATCCTACAAAGGAAAAACCAATGCTTTATGACAAAAGTATTGAGTCTTTACTGGGTCAAAGATAAAATTATGGAAATTTTGCATGTAGCTGCTGCTGAGAGATATGCCAGGCTTCAGTGGCATCACTCACTTATCCCCATGTGCCACAGAGGGAGTGCTCAGCAGTTTGTCATGAGCTACGGGAACGTGGCTGTCAAGAGCTCTGAATGGAAAATTTATACAGCTTGAAAAGAGAATTTTTTGAGATATGAAAGGCAAAAGACGTGTTTGCTTGTATCATGTAGGACTGAAAAACGTGGGGTGTCAAGATGATTTCTTTGCCTTTTTTATATTTAACATTCAGGTCTCATCTTCTATGGGAGACTTTATTGTCAGTTATTCAATGGCATCATCCCAAGATTTGGGGAACTTAAAAACAACCACCAGAAAGGCAAAAGGTTGTGCAGCTACACTGCTACCGCAAGTGTTTTCTATTTGTCTTTGTTACCTGCAAAAACTAGTAAGTGGCAGGGACAAGAAAGGCAAGAGCTGAGTTTGACACATCCTTGCTTATCTAAGAAGCTGGAGACAGGGCCTCAGCTTTCCTGGTACCCTAGATAACAGAGACTAGTAACATCCTCCAGATCACAAGGTCCGTCAAAATTTGGTTCCCTTACCACTTGTATGGAAAGGCACAAAGATCCTTACAGCAGGGCCACTGCATCCCTTGCTTCCCACAGCTGTTTTCAGCAGAGAAAGCTTTACCATCTATTTGAATTGACTAATGTGTCCAGTTTTTTTCTT